TTTCTCATGTTGGGAATGAGCTGTAGCGTGCCTCTGGCTTACATATAATATCCACCCTCTCCTTTTTCCTCTGCCCCAACATTGTCACCAGAAGGAAATTTGAAGCAATTGCTTCCATGCTTGATTCACTGTAGCTTGCTGTTTTCTCTGAACCTGTCAAATGTTTAGCATTACAAAAACAAAACACAACACAACAGCACATGAAAAACCAAAACCAGAACTGCATTGGAAAGGAAGTAGGAAGTAGGGAACAGGCATAACCATGGATGTCTATAACTCACTCCTGTTGTTATTCATCATGATATTGCAAACAGATACAGTTCCCTTTTAGCTCTGTTTGAAAGCCCCACCCAAAAATATTTGATATAACTGATAGATTGGAGGCAGTGCTTGGATATAATGGAGCAGTGAAGATCCCTCATTGTCTCTCCTCTGTAACACTATACAATATACATAATGAAGGAGCCAAAGGTATATTAATACTATCATGATGCATGCCATGGCTTGACATCCCTTCTTGGCATATTTAAAAACTGCAGTTTGTATTGTTAGGATAATATTTCATCAAATGGCATTTATTTAAGATATATTATTATACTGTACATAATTGACCTTATAAATATGTAGAGCTTGCTGTTACTGATACAAACGTTTTTTAAAGCAATATTAAATGCCATAGAATTATAACAACATTCCACACCCCCGGTCTGTGCCCCAATAAAGGGCACACAGATTTGATTGATCTATCCTGCACTCTTTTGGTGACACTCCAACCTAATTCTTGTTGACAGGAGTTGTGCATTTTTGGTTCTCCATGAAAATGGGAAAATACAAACGGCAAGGCATCTAGCGCTTCCTGAAATGATCTGCTTACTAAATGGAGGCAAACATTTCAGATTTATTTCATCCACAGTGATTAGTGTTACTGATGTAGAGATATAAGACCTTGTTTGTCTCAACCTCACATGAAAGATCAAAGCATTGGACGATTGTTCTACTCACCCCATGAAACAGCAAGCTATTTTGAACTGTTCTTGAGAAACAAATAGATATTTTTGTTTTTTCACCAAAATATGTAAATAACATTTATTTATTTGACTTATTTGCAAAGCACTACTCTCGATGGTTAACAGTCAAACCAAATCAAATGGTACAATATAATATAACAATAAACAACAAGAAATATAATAAAGTAAACTAAATCAAGAAACAAAAGACTAACAAATCATTCAGCATAAACAATAGAATGCTGAGCAGCACAGTTTGACAGTGTTTATAAGAAGGTGGCCTGAAAAGCTTCAGTAAAGAGCATCATCTTCAGCTATCTCTTAAAGGTTGGGAGGGAGGGGGCCAGGTGCAGCTTGACTGGAAGCCCACTCCAAAACAATTTTGCCACAACTGAGAAGGCCTGATTTCTAGTGGAAGTCTTTCTGGCCTCCCTTGGTATGGCAATCTGTAGGAGTATGGCCTGCAAGGATCTTGTCAATGTCCTTGGGGGAAAGCGCTCTGACAAGTCATGGAAAATGTGCAAACTGATGACAGCTGTCTCTTTGTTCCATGGGCTTTTTAAAGATCAGGGTTATTAGCATCTTTGTTCACAATCAGCCAGTTCTTCTGATTTTGCTCTTTCACTATGTATATGTGTTTGTATACTTTGCATCTCAAAGTAAAGGTCTCTAGTTTTGTGCAGAGACCTTTTGTATGAATGTTGGAAACTGAGAAGAAAAAATATTATCTTGTTCTTTCAGGCTTGAAAAATTCTCTTCAAGGTGTGTCCTTGAGTTGGGACAGCTCAAATCAATGAAAATGAAGAACTTACCAAGTATTTGTGAAATTTGTAACTTCTGGACATTTACAATTTGGGACTAGCGCACAATATCAGGATTTGGTTCGCTTAGGCTTAGTAACACAGACAGAACAATACCATATGAAGAAAAGCCAGACGTGGGTACAATCCAGTCCAGAAAGGAAATAACATATCAATTTTTTAAATCAAATTCAGGGGCACTTAATATGGCTGAAGAAGAGAGAGCTATTGTATAAACAATTATACTGTTAGTGTATTAACTAACAGTGTGACTATTAACTACTGTTAATCATAATATTGGACTGTGAATCAGTACCCAGAGCAGCTTAAACAAAATAATAATAATGCATTACAGAATAAACAGCAAAAAAGATGATAAAATAAATAGTATACTACTTCAATAGGGAGACCTATTTTCAAGTGATGATAGACTTTATTTAGGAATTAAGGCATATCTTCAAAGAAAAGGCATTCCAAAACTTTGATACTACCATTAAGAAAACTTATCTTGTGTGTTCATTCCTGGATGGTTGTCATAGTGTAGAAAGCAAGTCTTTGAGGTAGATCTTAAAGCCTGTCATGGAAGATTTCCTGATGTTTGTGGTTCAGTGCAATGCAAAGTAATCCATCCATCTTTATGGGGCTGAAGGATCCTGTGTTACTGAAAGAATGAAGCATCAAACTTAAGATGAATGAGGACTGGAGATGGCAGGAGCTATTAAAAAGAGTTTTGACAACAAATAGAAAAGAGAAACCATGGTGAAAAGTCAGATCACAGGGCCTCAATCTGTCTGGAGCTGTGTGCATGCATTTGTAGGAGTTATTTCCCATTCACTTAGGAATGCATATGTAGAATCTTCAGCATTAGGGGGCAGGTGGCCCTCAGTGGGAAGGCAAATAATTTTGATATGTGATTATGAAAGTCTCCTGCGTTCTAGTCTATCACTGTATTCGCTATGCCATAGTGGCTGTCAGTGTTACAGCATCATATATTTGTGAGAAGATGTAAATATTTATGATTTCTAAGCTATAAACAATGCATAGTACACAGTTTTTAAGCTTGTTATAAGGAGTTTTTGTGAAGGGCTATAAAAGCAATGGTTTTCAATATTTCTGCTCAATTTATGAAGATAATTGTAATGAAATATTGGCTGTCATAATGACTTTAATTTTAAAATTTTAAGGTTGCTTTCTTAATAAGTCGCTACGAGCATTTCATGTAAGAAATAGATTTTACAACTATAATCTATTGTTCTTTTTTGATAGCATTGCCTTGCGCTGCACCATGCCTTCAGCAGTTAATTAATGTATTCATAGTTTACATTTTAAAACATCTAAACTTTGAAAGTAAATATGAAGCATTTAGTAACATTTAATGGTTAATCTAGAAACACTTTTCAGTTACATCCTAGGCAGGTGGAAAATTTGATATTCCTATGCAAATGCTGCAGGATTGCTTGCAAGATGAGCTATGGGAAATCCTGCCAGTACCTGGAGAAAATAAACAAACAGGTTTTTTATTGCCTTTTGGCTCTGTGTTTCTGTTGCATTCCCAGTCCTCCCCATGTCAGTCATGTACTATCCTCTATCCACGAACAACACTGTGCAAGAAGTTGTAGAGCTGACATCAGGGAAGCAATGTAGGTTGCATGCAAATCTCTATTTCCTCTGTTTACTTCTGTTCTAATTTTGCACAAAAATATTATTTCCTTGAATACTTTAGAATGCTACATAGGAGCTCAATTCCTCTTGGTAATTTTCTCATCTATGTGCATTTAGCAGTCTCTCCTGGTACTGGGAAGTAGGAAGTTATCCTTAGGTCTGATGGACCTTTGCATTCCTTTTCCCAGTCTCTGTCAGACAACTAGATTTTAACTTGCAGTCATAAATGTTAAGTTGCCTCAGCAATGGCACTTTTCGTTCTAGCTCCATCTCAACTGATTTAGTCATGTTTGGCCAAAATGTAATTTGTATTGCCAAAGAAGCACAGGTTCCTCATTTTTTGTCATCTCACAACTTTTCCAAACACCTGACTGCTTGCCTTCCAAGGGCACAGGAGTCAGGCCTCCAAAACACGTGTGTCTATTCTATGAGTACATTATTCTAATTCTTTTTTAAAATCCTGCCTTTCTTATTAAGAGGGAGGAGTAAAAAAGATTATATATATGAGATGCATCTTGGTATATCTTTTTAATAGTGGATCCACTTCAAGGCAGTGCTAATGTTTTCTCTATATAATATTGTTTTAACTGAACAGGACCCTCCTCATTCTACTGGCTGGTAAGCTGCTTTCAAACCATGGGAAATCTTCAAAAGATGGTTCTCCTGTGGCATAAAATTGCCTGTATAAAAATCAAGAACCAGGACATTTCACTTAGTAGCAACATGGCTGTGTAATTTGAATATTAACCTTCCTGTTCAATGGTAGAACAATGTAGTCCCTCAGAGTAATATTGTACTGCAAAATCCACACAAAACTGGACTCACAAGTTAGGCATTTTATAGCATTGTCTCCTGAAGAGTTGTAAACTATAGTGCTGTTCAGACTACATGGGCTGACACTATGGAGGGTATGAGTGGGAGTGGGGAGGGCAGGCGACAGATGCAAGTAAGTCCCATGCCCAGCGCCTTGCCCACATGGAAATCACACAGACCTTCACATGAAAGCCTGAAGAGGCACCTGTAAATGTGTTCACTTGAACATCATTACAACACTTGGGTGATTGGCAGCTCATATTAACCATTTTCAGAGGGGAGTTGAGTGCGTATTCCTCATCTTCATTCCCATCATGCTCGAAGCTCTAATGTAACCATGTTTTGACCACTGGCCTTGTATCCTAATTCTGCTGTTAGCCCTCAGTACACTGGATTTGTCATGGGATCAGAAAGTCGTTTATTTACCCTAGTGAATGAGGTTTAAAGGTTATAACTGCTGTCAGCACAGGAAACACTTCAGTGTTTGAAGAAGCTTCAGCTGAGACTGAAAATTCATTCCTTGTGTCCTTCTTCTTCTGTTCTTTTACTTTTTTTAGGTCAAACATGCTGCAAAGTGTGGTTTTCCCTGGAGATACATAGTATACCAGCCCCACCAGAAAAAACTCTGGCTATCAAATGTACAGTTTTGGTAAGATGACCTTTCACTAATAGTAGAAGTAAATATATCTTAGTGATATGCTTGTGTTACTAGAATGAAGTATACTAAAGGGAACTCTTCCATTGAAGAAGTGGCCTGAGTGCTCTTATGTTGTGGTGGTTGAGATGGTAAGATCTACCTTTGTTCACATCAGTTCTACCATGGTACAATTAATAAATGTCAGCTACTTTCACCCAATAACAAGGAACATCAACAGAATTTGGAGCAGCTAACTTCAAATCTTCCTGGCATTTTTTTGCTGTTCCTTCAAGATTCACAGATGTTCTGAATTTTTCCCCTTGATTTGAATCTGGGAGGGTGGGTTGGTAGCCAAAGAGTGGGTATACATGTGATGTAGATTCTTTGAATCTTTCACTGTTACCTGCTACCACTCTCCATATGTCACTAGCTACAAGGCCTATTAGGAATTTGACTTTATCAGTAGGAGTTGGCTACAGTCATTTAGTAATGGTTCTATAGCTTTAATTGAGCACTACATCTGTCTGTTGTGAATGGATTGAACTATACCACACTAGGCTAATATATTTGCCTACAGAGTAGCATAGGGCCAAGGCTGTATTTCTTTGTGTTTGTCCTCATGTGCCCCAAGTGGTTCTTGATAGCTTTCAAAGAATTGTTCCTTGTGGAGACCTTTACATTGTATTTTGGCAGTGTTGCTTTTAGGTTAGCAATCAGTAGATGATCCAAAGCAACACTTGGGTACTGTGAGGTAAAACAATGATTTAATTAGGTGCCCTTCCAAGTAACCTGAATTTTCTGAAATGCTTGTTTGTTTCTCAGGTGAAAGGCACATATCTGAGTTTTAGTAGAGTTGGGTATACATTGACTTTATCATAAAGGTCCAAGTTCTTCTAAAGCATCTGTTAGAAGGTTTAGTCAAGCATAAAATCCTTGGATAGCTGTTGTATGGTATTGCTGTTTGGAAGCATTTTATCAGATACTTTGCGATCCTTATTCGCCATGCCAAGATGCGCCTCTTCAGCTGGTCTGCGGCTTGAAGCTGATATTGCCCTCAATAGAATGGCAGGCATGGCTACATGCATTTTGTTATTGGTTAAAGGTAGTCTATGCCACCAAAATCTGTAGCTACCTATACTATTTGCAGAAAACTACATCTCTTAGGGTTCTCTATGGACTTCCCACTGAGACAGCTTCAAGGTAGCTTTAAGCCAATACTTATTCAACATATTAAAGATATAGACCTTGTGTAGCTTGTGCAGACAGGGCTTGAATAATACTTGTTCACCTAAATTTTAACTTCCCTAAGCCAACTAACTACCTATACCAATTACTGCACTGAGAAATTGCTTTGCCTTTTCAAGGGCTTTCCCTCAGCCCTTTTAAAAGGGCATTTTAATAACACCCCATATGTTGAAAGGATTTGTCCCTGTGGGAAAGAAACTATTGAGACCTTGGCGCACATCATTTTAGAATGTAGCTTATATAGGATCAAACGTATTGGATATCTTGGTTCAGTCATGAGTAAATATACTGGCCCACCTCCCACAGGCTATCTGAAGTTTCTGTTGTCTGGAGAGAATCAAATAATAACACAGTTAGTGACTCAGTTTTTATTTTCATCTATGAGAATTCGCAAAACGCTATAGGAAGATTTTATACTATACTATGTATTTATTTTATGTATTTTATCTTTGTATCATTTATTATGACCGTATAATAAAACTTTAATAAAAAAAATTAGAAGGTATTCTACTATTTGAAATCTATCTGGCTAAGCAGCAAGTGCAAGCATGCCAGCATAAATAAAACTTTCCATTCATTGAGGAAGTGGTTAATCATTGGTATATATGTTAAACAAAATAGGAGCCAGTATGCTGCCCTGGGTATACCATTCTTTTGTGTACCCCATTGACTCTGTGCTGCTGAGTTGTGTTTGAAAGTTAATGGTAAGGTGACTTTTCACTAATAGTAGAAATAAATACATATTAATGATATTTATGATGTGTATTTTACTAGGGACCACCTCGGTGGGAAGGTAAACAGCGTTCCGTGTCTAAATCACACTGGCCATGTGACCACGGAAAGATTGTCTTCGGACAAACGCTGGCTCTATGGCTTGAAGCGCGGGATGAGCGCCGCCCCCTAGAGTCGGACACGACTGGACAAAAATTGTCAAGGGGAACCTTTACCTTTACTATTTTACTAGAATGAAGTTACTAGACTGAAGTATTCTATTGCCTATATCAAAGGCAGCTCCTACACTGAACGAGCAGTTACTGGAGACTCATTGGTGTTTTGCAATACATAGGCATAAATAAATCATGTATCACAAAACTTTAAATTAATTAATCATCCTTTAAATTTAATTATTTATGTTTGTGCCAAGGTTTGTAAAAAAGCACAAAGGAAGCAGCACACGGAAAACGATAGTTAAGATCAGTTTAATGTAGATTAGGACGGGTACTGTGCTGGCTAAGTCTGATGGAAGTTGCAATCTGACAACATCTGGGCAGCCCAACAGCCCTCGCTCATCATGTAGACTGAAGACTTTCTATATCTGTACTTTAGGTGTTTCTAAACAAAGTTGTGTTTGCTGCTTCTGCATATAATGATTATGGTTAAGATAACAGAACTCATTGCATTTTAAAGACAGATATAAACAATTAAGTACTGAGTAAACATATTTTGTAGAATACCTGTGTTTTGTGACTGCTTCTTCTTTCAAAGGTCCATTGACAGAATATATAACTCAGCAGTATTTCTCAGTAATTACTGATATGTCAAAATCTTGAAAAAGGAAACTTTACACCATAAAGATATAATAGAAGTTTAGACACAGAAGACCTACTTAGAGGAAATGTCTTTTTTTATCAGAGTTGTGAAGCCTAGGAAAATACTCAGAAATAAATGCAAACGTTTATGAAAAGAGGAAGAAAATGGATAAGAAAGAAAAAAAAACTATTAATGACAACAGAATCAAATAATATCAAGTGTTTGATATTGGAACCAGTTGTATTCAGAGTCGAGAAACCTCTAGAAATAAAACCAATAATCCTCCAAAATTAGGTCATGAGTAACTTCACAAAGTTCAAACTATGGCAAGGTTTGAAAGAGTCTGAAGGGTTATCATTGCACTCCATGGTAACATCTTGATGTTGTTAAAAATGAGTTGGGTAACAGAAAATAAGCAAATTGATTATGTGATACTGTGCCTTTTCATAAGTATTTTTGAATCATAGCTTGATTTCCACAGGCTTGAGTAAATAATTCATTATGAAAATATAATTGCTGTTTTCCTAGGCCGCCCAGGAACTATATCTGCAGTTGAAACAGAAAAGTGGTTGTTTTAAGATGCAGACTGTTGCACTCTCATTGATAGTCAGGAAAAATAATATACCAATTCAAGAAGAAATGGTGAAAGACAAGCATTTTCCACATGCAATTTTTAAATTGTTCTCTCAGAATGTTGCCATTTTTGAAATAGGCTGTTAAAATATTAATAGTCTGTGAGCTTTCACTTTATGAAACAGCAAACAAAGCCTCTGTGTTTGTTTAGAGGCTGCTTCAATATGTTTAACTTTTGAAATGACACATGCAGAATTTATTCTGGACCAATTTCTATTTAATGGTTACACATAAAAGTACACATACATACAGGTGATGGAGTATGCCTTGCAAAATGTAGCCACACCCAAACATTTTCTTAGCATAATCATGATTTGTATTAATCAATTACAGGTATCAAATATATTACTCAAATATTTTTTTAAATCATTTTCCTACTCATCCTCAGGATGATGTTCAGTTTAAAAAAGCAGTCCAATAAGGTCAAGGTATCACAACAGCAAAATGATTGCAAATGTGGAACCTTCTTTAAAATGAGCCAAAGAGCAACAAAAGGGTTTCAAAAACCCATCAGAATTGGGCATCTTTTTCTGGTAATCTAAAATGCGCTACAAATACTCAGCTCAGTAAGGATCTCTGTGTAAGCACAAGATACAATTCTGCATCTTCTGGGCAGGGTCATCGATCATCAGCCTTTCCACAGTTCATTCCATGCACAGTGCATTCCACTCAAAGAGAAAACAGCACCGGATAATTCAATCAGGTCCAAAACTTTCGAATGGACACATTTGTTTATGCCTAGTATATAGCAGTTTTGCATATTTTAAATCATATGTCTATTCTCCAAAATATGTGTGTGTGTTTTGAAAAACACAAAATTTTGCATTTATTTCCCCACTATTTGCATTTTTGTACAACCTCTCTTAATATATGTAGCCTTATATACAACTATCTCTAATATGTACTTTTTGTGATACAAATTTTTATATCAGAATTGCATTGTAAAATTCAGAGAAATGTGAATTCAGAGAACAAATGAATTCTGATCCACGTATTATTGGAAGTGCCAATTAGAGCAATTTATTTAAATGTGAAGATCACAAAATTATGTGACAAAACAAAAAAAGAAAATAATTGGTAAGGCCATGCCTCCTCAATCACTGACTGATTTGACCTAGAAAAGAGTTCATGTTCAATCATGTTCAATTCAGTATATCAGCAACATGGCCTCTAAACTTACCGTAACTAAAACACACTTGTAGAGATTTCACAGTAGTAATTTCACTGGATATAACTTCACAATACTCTGATTGCAGATCCTACCATTTGGATGATACAAATAAACTGAATTCCCCCTAATTATATTGCTTCATTAAAATATTTGAAGATCAGGAACACAAGAGTTAAACATTTTGAAGCTCACTGGAAGTTTGTGTATCCTCAGCCTAGGAACAATGCAAACTTTAGTATGACTATAGCAAATAAAGTAATTATTTTAATTTCCTAAAGACATCTTTAAAATCTATTGTTCTTTGTTATGAAACTGTCATTATGAAAGGAAACACATTACACAAAAATTAGTTCAATGCTGACTGACTGCATATAATAGTGAAAATAGTGCAGTGATCTGTCATAGCTGACATTGCCTTTAACTGTACTAATCA